TAAGATGAACAAGGTAGAACTCGGCCCTGCATTCTGGTGGATATTTTGCAAATGGGGAAACTGAGATGAGAAAGTTTGAGTGGCCCTAGTCAGATGACAGCTAGTAAATGTCATACCCAGAATTTTTTTTCTAGAATCTTATTCTAAGTCCATTGTGCTTTCACCAAACTAGCAAAGCGACAAGTACTTACAGCATGTAGAGCAAATGATTTGTCATCTTGTCTTTGGTTCATGTATCTTAAGGAGCCTCCCTCCACACAGAATCAAACCCTGAAAATTATAATCACACCTGCAGCAGGTACACTATTCTTGTTCATGCTTTCCTTGTCCCCCCTCTTCTCTGTCACTGCAACCCTTGACCACACCCCACCAACCTTTCTCCAGACCTCCCGTGGTGTGCTTGCAAGATACCATGTACCCCTTTCTTATTCCAACTTTTGATCCCTGGGCACTGCCATTCCTCAGGCAAATAATGTTTAACTTTTAAAACAAGAATACCTGTTTATCTCTACTTGTAAGTTTCTCAGGAAACTTATTACTGAAAGAATGCGTATGTCTGTATGATTTGTAAGGAATAGGGGAAATGAAGGATGCATTCTGGGTTAAAAAAAAAACTACCAAAATCCCCATGAGAATAAAAGGAAAAGATGGGCTCAGTTTTGGTATCTCAGAACAGGAAAATCAACATGCATTAGTCAAACTACTAAGAAAGCATGAAAGCTAGACTTCTTGGAATTAAATCATAAATCCTTCTTTAGAGTCCACCTTGTAGTAGGGTTTGCCTTTGTGACTTGTCCATCCATCAGCTTTCTGTAATCATGCTGTCACCCAGCATGAACAGCCCTCTTTGCTGCGTGTGATATCTAACCATTAAACAATGCCTGCTTTTGTTTAGGAGTGCAAAACGCTTCTTACAACAACCATTGCTTTAATGAAGGCAGTCCCCATGGGTGGATAGGAATGCTTTCCAATCTATGTTGCATGACTTTGTTTCAGTGAGAATGTGCACATCAGCCCCCAGCTTCCTCTTGGCCTCACCTCTGACTCTTCAGTAGGTGAATTTTGTGTCTATGGATATAGACACAAAATCTCCCCATCACCATGAAAAAGTGTGAATAAGAAGATTAGTAGACACTTCCTTCTTTTATACTATAGAAAAATGAGTTCTTGGGTTGATATTAGAAGGTATCTTTTGTGTAAAACTAACACGGAAATTTCCTTACCTTTCTTCAGCTAAAGAGAGGCTAATGTACAAGATGGTACATGATTCAAGTTCAGCCTTGTTCAGATCATTCCTCACTGATCTTTGCCTTGTTCAGAAGTTGCTGGTTCAGTGTGTGCTTGGTGGATGAGTCAGTACTGAGGAAGCACTTTATCTCTACAAGGTTTTAGAATAAAAATCAGAGAGGTTACATAGAGGTAACGGAGTGACTTTATCTTCTTGATCTTTTTATGTTGATCAAAATTTCTACCAGGCTCAGAAGCCCTCTTTTGAACTAAAGCATGGATTTGTTAATTTACCATGGATTTGAGGAGATTGTTCAATATCTTATTTTATTATTGAATTATCATCTCATCCATTTCTGTTAGCAAAGGGCAGAGCCCTGGGATATTGGGATTCCGGATCCAGATATTTGTAATTGGTGTAGAGTCGGGCAGTATTTACCAAAGTGTACAAACATACTGGTGGTGCCATTAGAAATAATTTCCGGGAAGAATCAGTTGGGATGTTACCTAATATTGAATCACCCTGTAAAAAAGTTAGTTCCATCTCAAGTTTAAGTCAGTAACTCTGAGTATTCCAGGGTCGGAATCTCAAGTCTGTATATCCTTCCTGCTTCCCTAACACCAGCTAATCTGTTTTTAATAATGCTTGGGGTGATGAGAGTGCCCAGAAAACATTGATAACATTGCTTCATCTACACCCATTTTTAGGGTTACCTGCCATTAATTAGAAGAGATAATAGAGTTTAGTTCATGCCAACAAATGGGAAATATTTTTCCAAAAATAATTAAGCTTAAAAAACAGTGTATCTATATAAGAAAAATATTACTAAGGTCTTAGCACAAGTGGCAGAGCGATGTGGTGGCATGAGAGGACTGATGTTATAAGAGCCACTGAGGTAGGGAAAGATTGGGAAACCCCATTGCCAAAACCCTTATGGGGGGAAATGAGCCACAGGCAGGCACATGTGGCCATGCAAGGGCTCCAGATGGAGGGTTGGAGGCTGTGTTGGGTAGAAAAGGCGAGGAAAGCACCTTGTGTGTGACATCCCAGTTGCCCCCTTTCTAAAGTGACAGTGTGGCAAAGCTCAGCTTTTCTCAAACCAGGGCTCCTGCCAGAGAAAACACGAAGCTCTCCTTCAAGGGTGAGGAATGACTTCCATATTACACTACAACGCACTTGTCTGCTGTAGCTACTATTCCCAGCATCCTGTGGCCATGGAGGGCTTTTGTCACCGTGGCCTGGTAACACACTCTTCTGAAAGATATAGGTTCAGTGAAGAATTCAGATTGTACAGCCATACAAGGTAATATATTTTTTGTGTGTGAATCAGAACTACTTCTTTTCCTGTCCCTGACTGCACAGTCTCTGGTAGGTCTCTGACGACTGAGATCAGCATAGCAGTGCTCTGACTGTCCCCACCCGAGCCTTCTATTTTATTCAGTCCTTCTTGCCTCACACTTGTATTTCTCTTTAATCTCTCATTTTTTTTTTCTGCATTCTGATGACACCTGAGTCTAGGTACACACGCTCGTTCATTTATTTTCACATTGGTGCCCATCGATTTTTCCAAGCAGGGCTGCCTTGGAAATCTTCTATTAGCCAACATGATTATATGATATTGCTGACTCCCTGCTTGAGATTTTTGAGCACCTTGGTTGAGCTCATATTCCCTTCGAATGGTCACAGGAACGCTGCTGCTCCAACTTCTAAAATAGAAATTGGATTCATTTCCCACATGCAGCAGTTTAGTGATAACCCAAGCAGAGAGAAGCCGTCTTAGTTCATCAGTGCACCGTGAGGCCGGGTAGGCAATTCTTTCCCAGGGAATCTGTCGATTATCAGAATCTAACCCAGACTATTTTGGAGAGAAAGTTCATGTTATAATTTTATGATTTTCTTCCCTCCTGCTTTCTTTCTAATGGCTTTCACTAGTCTATTTCATTTCCCAATCTCAAACATTGGAATTTAAAGAGCCCCTTTTTATAAAGTGTATGGTAAAAATGCTCTGTTAGGAGATATATTTATTATCCAGAATGAAATGGCTTTTTGCAGGCAGGCAGTCTTCTTGGCCCTTTCGCTGCCTCCGTATTTAAGAAAGTTGCTCCTTGAATTTCACAGGGCAACGGCTGTGTCGACCAGTTAGGAGAGAGCATACGTGTGTGCACATGCATGTGTGCGTGTGCTCGTGTGTGTGCTGGGGGAAGGAGCCCTAATGGACCTAACAAGCACATTTCCGTTTTTCATTTTCCTCAGATGTTCAGTGGCTTCCATATGTGTGCTGCGTACAGCTTTGTTCATGCCGTTTGGTGTTGCTAACCTTGGAGTTGCCCTTGATGGAGAACATGTGTATGCATTGTGTCTTTCACTTGTGTTTATGCCTGAGATCCAATCTGGAACCGCTTTGACATTGAAAGAGAGAAAGAGAAATATTGGGAGGTGTGTGTGTGTGTGTGTGTGTGTGTGTGTGTGTGTGTGTGTGTGCGTGTGTGTGTGTGAGAGAGAGAGAGCGAGAGAGAGACCCCATCTTGAAGCTTCCTGAAAAAGAGATGCCAGGCTGTAAAATTAGTACCTCTTGGAGGCAGTCCCTGCTGGAGTGGCCTCAGCGTGCCATGACTATGGTGTGTCCAGTTGGTTGTCCTGCCACTAGTGGACCCATTTGAGGTGCTCAAGTGGGTTTGAAGCTTTTCCTATTCTGTTTGCAGTGACCATTTATCTTACTTTTTCTTATTGTTTTCCTCTGAAAAAAGATAAGGAGTTGGAAGTCTTCTATGTAGGGGGAGCACAGCAGGACCCAAATGAATTTATTATTCCTCGCTAGCCATATATATATATATATATTTAATTTGTTTTCACAGAGTTCCACAATTTGGGAACAAAATCCAATATACATCCAATTTAGGAACATAATTGGCACCCCTTCTCTGGTTCCACAGACCAGTTTTTCTAGATAAGCTTCCTCCTCCCCCTCTGGTTATTGTCAGTCACAGCAGAGCGTGATGGCAGCTGGCTGGAGGTGTGACCGCTTCAGGAGGGGAGCAGGCCTTATGCAGCCTGGTTTCACACATCTCAAACATGGCCTCCTTCCCTCTCCCAATAGCACACCCAGCAGAGAACTGCATCTGTGTCTTTCTTGGTGGAAAGAGGAAGAGTTGTTACTCAGCAGGCACAAGCAATATTTCAACTCTTATGAAATAGTTGCAAAATTTATGTCCAGAGAGACCCTTCATGCTTTATTTGTGGTCTTCATTATTTTCACGGTTGTGTTTAAACTGAAAACTCATACTGTAATTAAGCAGTGCCTTTATTTGTATTGGAAAGTATGTAAATCGCTTGCCTCCTGGTATTCCCCACACTACCAGGAAAGAGCTGCACGTTCTCTTGCTTGTATAAAATTAAATATCAGTAAGATGACACTTCACATACCTGGAGATAGGATGTGAGTCAGGTCTCCCAAAGACTCTTATGGTTTACCAAAGGTCAAAGGCCAGAGAGCATGCTCTGAACACGAAGTTTGTATGAGGAACAGCTCCCAGTGCATATGGAGCTTCAGACCCACCAGGCCTTGGCTTCAGAGATGGTCTTATGATGTCAAACCATGTAAGCACATTTTGGACAGAATGATAAAAAGTGATGCGCTTTTGTACTGGAGAAGAGCAAAATGATCAAAAGGAAAAGATTCCAGATGATTTTTTTAAGTAGGATGGAATTATTGACTGATACCACCAAAAAAATTTTTTCCCCTAAAATAAAATGTTTTGTTTTTCCCAAATAGCACCATCATCCATTGCTTTGGTCCAGGCTAAAGAAGTTACAAGATACAGCGTGGCGCTGGCTTGGTTAGAACCAGATCGGCCCAATGGGGTAATCCTGGAATATGAAGTCAAATACTATGAGAAGGTATTGCTGGATGAGCCGCTTTCCTCCTTTCTCTTCCTGCCTCCCTCCCTCCTTCCCTGCTCCATCTCTCCCTCCCTCCCTCCTGCCTCTTGTGTTCAGGTGTTGGCCAGTTCTAAACTGGGATATATCTGTGAATCCCAAAACCAAATGCATCTTCCTTCCCAATCAAATCTGGTTATAACATTTATTATTTAATTAGTTATCTTGAAAAATAGAGAAAGGTATATTGTGTTCTAATACCATTATATTCTTTCTAGTAATGAGAATCAAGACTGCTGAGAAGTCCTAATCTATAAACCTTCTATCAGGGAGAGTGACTCATAACAGTGGAAATAATGATCTGTTTAAGTAGGTGACTGCTATTCAGAATGAGGGTGTGGGTTTTGATGACTTTTAATAGAAAATCAAGGAAGGAAAATTACATTCTTCAACCTCTTAAAGTTACAGAAAGGCATTATTTTTACAAATAACTTGTCTCTTAAAGGACAATTCTGAAGAGAGCTGTTTGCACTCAAGGCTGTCTAGAAAATGAACAATTGTCCTCTCCTTTTAAAGATAATCACTTATTGACTTCCTTATTAAAAACAGAAAAGGGACTGGATTTTTTAATTGAAATCAGATTACAGTAACTTTTTGGCATTTTCCAGACAGAAAATAGAAAAAGACAAGGGACCTTCTTATAGTTATTTCTTTTAAATTGCTGTGTGTGGAGCTAGAAAAGCCACCAACCATCATTTAATGTTCTTTTCAAAAAATGGTTATGAGTAAAGATCTGTATGTGCTCAGGTTCAATGGCAGCCAGACCTAGCTCTGTGCTTCTTTCAACCTCTAAGAAGTAACTAGGATGTTTTCCAGCCTGGCTCAGTAGTCTGTTGTCCCAGCTGCTCTGGAGGCTGAGGCGGGAGGATCACAATTCCCAGGTCAGCAAGATTCTGGGTCAAAATAGAATTTTACAAATATTTATATCTGTAGCAACACACACACTCACACACACACACACACATACACACACACCTCAAAAAAAGAAAGAAAGAAAGAAAAAGAGTCCATAGAAGAGAATGTAGAGTTCGAGAGTTCTGCCCCACTTACTTTCAACCTCTGAGGGGATTGTGTTAGTTCCCTCAATGTTGGTCCTAGAGTAAGCAGAAGATTTATGATTTATGTTGCCACCTTTATCAACGTTATCTTTCTATAACGTAGGATCAGAACGAACGGAGTTATCGTATAGTCCGGACGGCTGCCAGGAACACGGACATCAAAGGCCTGAACCCCCTGACTTCCTATGTCTTCCATGTGCGCGCCAGGACGGCGGCTGGCTATGGGGACTTCAGTGAGCCCTTGGAGGTCACAACCAACACAGGTAACATGGACCCCTGATTCCACTCCCTCGGAGATTTTTTCTGTACAGGACCAATTCCACCAACATGAAACCTAAGGAGCCGTACTTGATTTTTGGTTAGGCAGACGTTTTGTTGCAATGAGTGCTGCATGGAGTAAGGTGGCCCATGTCTGCCACTTAGAAACCCCATGCCGTTGAAGGAAGGACACTTTTCATAATACTGTCTGATATGTCTTTTCATGTGAATGAAAAGTGTTGCCAATTTTTCTCTTGTTTTGAGTCTTCTATAAACCATGAAAAATGGGATTATTAAACTGACTAATTAAGGGTTACATGTCTATCATCCATTAAGACAAGGAATATTTTTTTTATGAGAAAATAGAAGAAGGGGCCAAAATGCTTTTTCCCCTTACTTATTTCTAGGAGTTTGTTAAAACCTAGTCAGATGAGTTGTGTGTGTATGTGTGTTTTAAAGCCTTTTTGCACAAACATATCAAATGTTTCACATTGTCAGTGGAATCCACTGGTTGGTTGAATCAAAAGTTTACCCAGGAGCCTATCCACACTAGCATTTGCATAAGACATTTCCACCCCCTTAATTAAGAAACCTAAATTGGACCTATTTGCGAAAGAGATGGTATAGCAGAATTTTCAACATCAGTTATAGAAAGTAGTTTTATTAACAAACAATTGAATAAAATAAGAATGTAAAAAAGCAGAAGTGAAAGTGGAGTTGAATCTGAAGGGAATTGATGCCATTGAGATCATCCAGGGAAGCTACCAGAAGGAAGGGGCTTAGACCTGGGCAGTAATAGTCAAGCTTTTCACAGATGTGAGGAAGGAAGGGCATTCAAAACCATTTGTTCTTTCTGAAATTTCCAAATGTGTTTCTCACCAATGCATTTGGTCATTACGTCAGAGCGAGGATAATGTTAGAAAGGAAAAAGAAGACAGGAAAAAAAAAAATCCTGCATTGGCCAGGAGATTTAATAAGAGTCTTCTGTTTAAGTTTGTCATACAGTGATCTAAAAAAATAATAATAGTATCCTTGTTCTCATTAAAGCTTTGAAAATCCTGTTCCATGTGTATTTAGCAAAGGCTGTGGACTCCAGAAAGATTCAGACAGTTGAATATTCTGGCCCAATCAGAAGTTCCACCCCATAGCACCTTCGCCAGCTCACCTCCTGTCACTGTCATTGCAGTGCCTTCCCGGATCATTGGTGATGGAGCCAACTCCACTGTCCTGCTGGTGTCCGTCTCCGGCAGCGTGGTGCTGGTGGTCATTCTCATTGCAGCTTTTGTCATCAGTAGGAGGTAAGCTCTGAAGCCACCCCCACTTTCTCTGTTTTATGACGAAACATTTTGTCTCCTCCACACCAAGCCAAGGCCTTTGATTGGCACCATAAACAGGGCATCTGCATGCCAAGCTTCTTCCTTGTTGCTTTGATCTTCCCACATCCCGACTGTGGCTAATGGCAGTAACTGGGTGGCAGCCCTCTCTGCTGAGTGTCCCGTAAAGACACAACTAATTCCAGGAAACCAAGCTGGAAAGCAAGTCAACGGGCAATCTGCAGACACTTTCAGCTATGGGTGTTACATTTCTCTCTCTGCTCAGCCTAGATCTACAGCCAAAGGGAAACGAAACTGTAAGAGAAAACGTGGCCCCAAAGTTGAGCTATGTCATTTGCCAGCTGTATTTCTTCACCTGTTCAAACTTTCATTTCTCATTTTTATAAGAAATGATCATTATCTGCTTCCAAGTGTTATTACCAAGAGGAGTTTGATAGGCATCAGAGATACAGCACACAGTAGGTGCTTCAACATGATGTTGGTTAAAATGACAGTAACTGAAGCAAAGAAATGAATACTATACTGTCATATCCCTGTGGGAAAGGCTGTCAGTATTCTTAGAGAGTATTCATGAATTACATGTGGGCATGACATTGCCCTTGAAAGGAATCTCAAAAAGCGGATCATTTATACTCGGTGTGTTTGTAGTCTGACTCAATGCTAGCAGTGGCTATGGAACCAGTCTTGTCGTCCATCTACTTACTCAGACTTGCCAGATGCTCCACGGGGTACAGCTGCTCATCATCAATAAGTGTCCCGTGTCTAGGCCTTTTTGTCCTTCATATGTGAGAATCTACCTCTTATTTCACCTTTACCCCCTTACACCATCAACAGTTTCACAAGGTGTCAGAATGATCCTTTCAAATATAAAGCTTTTCTTGTTATAGAAGAGGAAAGTGATAGAAGACAGGTGAATTGCTGGTCCAGAAACACTCATTACTATACTCGTAGCTAGAGCTACTCTGTCCCCAATAGCTGTGCTTAGCTCTCAGGCCAACGTCTATTGTACCGTCCCTCCCTACCTGTGGATGATCTCACTAATGTCACAACCATGCCTGTAGCTGTTTCCACTGCCTGGGCAAGCCACCCTGCTTTCGCTTTGCTCTGATGTACATTATAATCAGGGTGATGACCACATATGTTAGCTTCCCTGGATGGACCCAGTTTTCACATACATTTCTTAACACCATGCTCTCACCCTCACTCTCCACAAGTCCTAGTTTGGAGAAAACAATTTGTTCCCTCTAGTAATAACACAATATGGAACGACGTCACATTTGGAACTGACATCTATATTTGTCACTAAATTCCTTTCGGTGCAAAGTCTTTAAGTAGGTGTCTGATTCAGAGCAGTGAGTTCCATCTCCAAGAAGTTAAGTTGCAGGAGCCAGTCAAGATGAGCCTTTTCTTGTCAGGCATGGTGGCGCACACCTATAATCCCAGAGGTTCTGGAGGCTGAGACAGGAGAATGGCAAGTTCAAAGTCAGTCTCAGAAGTGGTGAGGTGCTAAGCAACTCAGTGAGACCCTGTCTCTAAATAAAATACAAAATAGGGCTCAGTGATTGAGTGCCTCTGTGTTCAATCTCCAGTACTCTACCCCGCCAAATAAAAGATGAGCCTTTTCTTTGTCCACTGCCATTTGATTCCGGATGTCCATGTGTCATGCTTGTAACGCATGGGAAACTGTACGCATTGATATGCATCCTTTCAATTGTGGGGAACCGACCGGGATGAGGAGTGTCTAGAAATTACATGGACTTTTGTTTTCATTATTACATATTTCTGCAATTTCTTTCTGAAATTGTTACAATGTCTAATTTTTAACAATCTTTGTTAGATATTAAAAATGTTTTGAAGTACGGAAATAGGGAACATAGTATTAATTACATCCACCTCAAAATAAAAATAATATCTGAAGTCCAGCGTTATGTGATGCTCAGAACCATGTGAGAAAGTGGGTCTTTGCAGAAAGTGGGTCTTATCTTTTGCCCTGACCATTGCTTAAGATTTTGGTTTGAAACATTCTGTGGTCATGATTCAATTTTCCTTTAGATTCCTTTTCCTTTTTCTTTTTCATTTAAGTCGCCCTAAATACAGAGTCAAACTGGAGTTTTACAAATAAGCCACCTCATTCTTAAGTTTTTCCTGGACGTTCTGGTTAACATATTGGCTTTGATGAAAAGAAAGAAAGAAAGAAAAAAAAAACATATGAAAAGGTAATGCAGGGAGACAAGATTATTAAAAGCCATGGCTATAGCAAATAGCATCCTCAAGCTTGATGACTTAATTCCCTTTCTGCTTTTATTGATCACTTTATTACATAAGGCAGGATTGATAGCAGGATGCATCGGATTTCCAATTATGAGCCTTCCCCTCCTTAGAGAATTGAGCCTGTCGAGTTACCTAGCGATGATTCCTGTCCCTTCTCCCCCATTAAAAAAAAAATGTCACTTCCCAAGGCTGATAAACACTGCTTGGTGATTGGTCCTCAATGGATCACTTTTTAGAAAATGAAATGTCAACCCCTTGCCCTCATATTGATTATTCTTTAGTGCTGGCCATAAAGCTGTCATGGGAAGGGCTGCCTGGAGCCAGGTAGCTGACAGGCTGGCAGCAGCCGATGCTCACTCAGCCAGTTCTCTCCCCGCACAGGTTGTCTGCTCTGTTATCTTGGACTACAAATGTTTAAATGGGACAAGAACAGGTGAACAGAAAGGAGACAGGTACTATGAACAAAAGTCAGGCCCGGGCTCTCGGCAAAATACCAATAAAAGGTAGTAAATGGTACCCCCGAAATAATCTTGCCAGACTTCATCCAGCAGTGCAGGAAAGCAACACATCAAACGTCCTTGCCTGAAAAATCGTAGTTCTGTCCTTTTCTAGTGGGACTGCCTCTTGCTTCTTAGAGTCACGGGATGTTGATGGCAGAAAGGCTGCTAGAAACAGAGCCCTCAAAGGAGTCCCCTTGAACTGAATCCCACACTACTGATGGCCTATGAGATTTTGTAAGAAAGTAGATAGAAAGGATTTACCTGGTGAGAAAAGCCTCAGTTCTTCTGATGACCTCAAGGAGAAAATCGTGTTTGTTGTAATTCATTATTAAAAGGAAATAGCTTCAGGTTCACATGTAGCTTCTTGCTGGAATTTTATTTTTTAATAGCAATTGATTTTTCTATGTTGTTTTCAATTTATGCTGAGCAGTCTGAGTTTAAGGATTAACCAGAATAATCTCCCATTTTCACTTTAATTCAAATGATCTACTTATTTTTTTCAGCCACTTCAATGTGTAAGCATTTAGGGATCTCAGTGAAAGACTCAAACTACTAAATTTATGAACTTTATTTGAAACAAGATTTTATAAAGTTGATCTGTGTATGTTTTTACCACTCACGATATGTTAAATAAATCAGTTTACATTTTTATAGGCATCATTGATCCGTGTCTTCTTCAAGTTATCATGTCAGACTGGTGTTAGACTTTCAGAGTACATAATGAAATCTGCTATGTAGGTTGTTTTAGGTGCAAAAATGAGATGCTGTCCCTCGAAATTTTATCTTAAGGGACTGGAGATGTAGCTCAGTTGTAGAATGCTTTTCCGGCACTATGGGGGTGGGGGGGTGGAATTTTATCTTAATCCAAGGCTCCATTTCCCTATTTATACATTTTAACTTTGTGTTCTCCACAATGTAACCACTTTTCAAAACTTGTTTTGTAAAGTGTTTTTTAAAGGGGCTGTTAACAATACCATCATAAAGTCCTAAGTACCAGGGCTAAGGACTGAATCAGTGTTGAATTTCTCTGACAACCCCATTCCTTTATATTAATGACACAAACTAGTAATAATTCAGATTGTTTCAGGATAGTCTGTTTTCCTCAACAGTATTTTATTGTTCAAACATGAGAAACAATTTTAAGAAAGAACTGGAATACAAGAAGAGATCTGTTTTTTTAAGGGGAAATTTGGTGGTCAGGGGGAAGTATTACCTGATAACTGCTTTTCTTAGCAACGTTTTAATGATGACTTTCCATTTATGTTGGGGTTATAAAATACCTCTTCTACCTGAAATAAAGAAAAAGAAATGAATTGATTTTAGGGGAAAAATGCAAAAAAAAAAAAAAAGCAAATTTAAAAAAAGAAGGAAGAAAGAATTAAATAGAATAGCTATGGCAATATACATATATATGTATATATACATATATACAAATATGTATATATGTATATATCACATATATAAATTAGGTACTGGGAATTTGCAATCTGTGAATTAATGTACAAGTCTAATGCACAATATAAAGTTCAAATTTGCAAGTTAGGTTTGTCTTCTAGAATGTTAAGATTTTTCCATTTGGGAGCTAACGGTACATGTAATGCAAAAACAGTTTCCATTTAGCCTGTATCTTCCTTGCACCCTAATTTTCTCCTCTGCAATATTATGATCACATAAGAATGAATACATTTAAATGTTAGCCTAAATCGACTGATGAAATCATGTCAATTCACACAATTAGGGGGCAGATGGTACCTCAGAACATTTCTAAACAACTTGCCTGCAATAGTACGGTTCGATTCCAACTATTTCAAAATGTTGCTCACAAAGAACATTCAGACACCATTCGGTGCAAGCACAATGACAGCTTAAGGAAGGGGAAGAAGAGGAATCGAGTCTATGAATCTTCAGGGCAATGCTGGGGAGCCCTGGGAAGGGTCCCACCTGGAGTTCTACTTATTGCATTGCTTTATCTCCCTTAATCTGCACTTTAGCTGAATAAATTACTTACCTTTTACTAATTAGTTTTGGAACAGTGAACCACATCAATCAAATCTGTCCACTTGATGGGGAAAGTTAGTATTTTAATAAAAGCAGGGTTTATGCGGTAGGGCCCCTGCCACGTTCCCCTCCTCTATTCTGTTGGGTGTATTGAATAGTCAAGGTGCCAGAATCAACACATGGCCTGGGAGGGCTCACGCTGTTCCTCCACAATGTGGGCTAATACCCTTATTACCGTGTCCCTTTGACGGCAGGGAGGGCCCAGTCCCTCTTTCAAAGCTTCACCTGCAGAGCAAGCCCTTTTCTGTAACTCCTGCTGTTGAAAGGTTCCATGTTTCCTTCTGGACCATTCACTAACAAGCCACTGCTCTCCTGCCCCTTTTTAATTGGCTTGCCCACATCTCCATAATTAGAAAATCTTCAACAAAGGTTTCCTCTGCCATTCAGGTGCTCCCCAGCGGACAATTTGGAGTCATCTCTTCCTTAGGCTCCTGGGCTCCTCCACGCTGGCTGACCCAGTAGTAAGCTTCAGTGGCCTTTCTTTCTTGGGGCAATAATGAGCCCCATTGTCCTGCTCTGGGCTAAGGAGAAAGGGTCATCAGGTGACAAAGGTAGGGCAGAACATAGGCATTTTGGTTTCAAGGTATTATTAGAGAGCTAATAGGCTACAATTAGTCTCTGAACAGGAATCCTTGTGTTTCCTTTTTAGTGTTCCCTGTAGCCTGGAAGGGTCCCCTCTTCCAAATAGCTCTCCAAGTAAAGCAATTCTTCAAAAGTATACCTTCACCACTCACTGAATTCTCCTTGTGTGTTTGGAAGTCTGAGGAAGGGGTGGGTGGGTGGCTCTACCTTGTAATTATGTGACCCCTGCCACTTTGTATTCCTGTGGCTTTGTCCATATTAAATGAATGTGTCCAACACATTGGTGTCCAACAGAAAGTCATGCTTCTGGGCAGTGTGAAGTCACTGGTTTGTGTAGACACCAGGTTTTTGACTAATTCACTGACAATTTAATGTGGCTACTCAGGGCTGAGGGTGTAGTTCAGTGGTAGAGCACTTGCCTAGCATACCTGAGGCCCTTTATTCTGCCCTGGTCCCACAAAATAGTGGGGTGGGGGCACCATCAAAGCTCTCTTGTTCTATACATTATTTTTTTCCTTTAAAGGAAAAGAATTGCATTAGCATTATAGATCTAAAATGATTAAATCAACATGCTTATAATTTTAGTTAAAGCTTTTAGGAGCTCTGATAAGACACAGTCCTTCTGGCTGGCAAGACCCTGTTACATCCTGGGGACCCAGTCATGGTGTTCTCCTGACATTAAATGTTTTAGTAATCTTTGACCTGACCCTCTTATATTTACTTTAAAAGAGGGTAAAGGAGGAGGATTTGGAGGGAACTTTAACTTTCAGAGAAAGTTGCTTGGTTCGGGGTGTTTAAACCTGTTTAAACATTGATGAAATGTAAAGGGATTTACTGATGTAAAATGTGCCATTGCTCATGTAAGTCTCATCAGTTGCCCTCGCAACCACATCCTCACTACAAGACATGCTGTGCAGGCATGGGCCCGATCAGGGCACCCACCAAATCCTGTACTTGCCAAGAAGGGACGTGGGTAATTTACTCGCTCTCCTGGCTCTGCATCCACATCTGTACAATGGAACTGAGTGTGTGTCCTTCCACCTGATTCCTTTCATAGGGTTGTCATGAAGATGCAATTAAATAATACACCCTTCTAAGGCCCTTTGAAAAGTTAAATGCAAAGGAAAACACAGGCTATTATTTGGGACTGAAATATGCACTCTGTCGTTAAGAGTAGTAACTGGGGTCTCTGTTTTGCTAAGCTGGTTCCTGCTTTGCAAACAGTTAGGGGAGGAGATAATATATGTGATGAGAGAACTTTGAAAAGTTAAATGCAGTGTAAAAGTGCAAGGTATTATTATTTGCAAGAGAATCATCCACATGGAGCAACATCTGCAGGCTCCGAGGTCTGGTTGCTGAGCTGGATCCTGTGTGGCTGACAATTCCAGGAGGGATGTGGGAGGAAAGCTTCCCACTGATGCCCATGTGCTGCCTTGGGCTGCCTCTCTGGCTGCCCCTCCTTGCTCCTTTAGGTTCTCTGCTATTTTGGCTTCTGCTTGGTCATCCTGCCTTTCTGCCTATTCAATGTTTAGGAGTCAAGGGTATCAGATCCTGACAGGATCACACTATGGTGTGGGGAGAGATTTCCTCACCTGTGTGCCTCATTTTCCTTATCTGTGAGAGTCTTAACTTACCTTGTCTTTGAAATTCAAACTCAAGATGATTATAGATACCAATGTGAATTTTATATTTGGACAGTCATAAAATTACACGTTTTATTCACTAATATAATTTCAGGCTTAGAGAGTTACAACCAACTAATTTTCTAATTCATTTTTTAAATGTTTTAATTAGTTGTACATGGAAATAAAATGCATTTATGCACTTTGATATATCAGATATAGATGGGATATAATTTCTCATTTTTCTGAGTGTACATGTTACAGAATCATATTGGTCATGTAGTCACATATATACATATGGTAATAATGTCTGTTTCATTCTACTATCTTTCCTATACCCACATCCCTTTCCCTCCCTTCCCATCACTTCCCTCTACCTAATCTAAGAAAATGCTCTTCTTCCCTAGTGTCCCCTGCCTTATTGTGAATTAGCATCCACATATTAGAGAAAATATTTGGCCTTTGGTTTTGTGGGATTGGCTTATTTTGCTTAGCATGATATTCTCCAACTCCAGCCATTTACTGGAAAATGTTATAATTTCACTCTTATTTAAAGCTGAGTAATATTCCATTGAGTATATATACCACATTTTCTTTATCCATTCATCTATTGAGTGACACCTAGGTTGGTTCCATAGTCTAGCTATTGTGAATTGAGCTACTATAAACATGGATGTGGCTGTGTCACTATAGTATGCTGATTTGAAGTCCTTTGGGTATAAATCAAGGAGTGAGATAGCTGGGCCAAATGGTAGTTGTATTCCCAGTTTTCTGAGGACTCTCCATAATGTTTTCCATAGGGGTTGCACCAATTTGCAGTCCCACCAGCAATGTATAAACGTACCTTTTTTACCACATACTCACCAACATTTATTATTGCTTGTATTCTTGATGATTGCCTTTCTGACAGGAGTGAGATGAAATTTTAGAGTAGTTTTGATTTGCATTTCTCTAATTGCTAGACATGTTGAGCACTTTTTCCTATATTTTTTGATCAATTGTATTTCTTCTTCTGTGAAGTGTCTATTCAGTTTCTTAGCCCATTTATTGATTGGGTTATTGGTTTTTTGGTGTTAAGTTTTTTGAGTTCTTTATATATCCTAAAGATTAATGCTTTATTGCAGGTGTATGTGGTAAAGATTTTTCTCCCAATCTATAGGCTCTTTCCTCACATTATTAATTGTTTGCTTTGCTGAGAAGAGGATTTCTAATTCTTTTATGTGATATATATTCTCCTGACTCAATTTTTACATATAATGAAGACTTGCTTAACAAGAGCAAGACTCTAGGTTTAATTCCCAGCACTTCAAAAAAATTCTTTATACATATATATAACTTAATATTATAGATTTTTGATTCCCAAGACTTGTGTTAATTTCCCAGTTCATGTAAATGATACATACAATCCTGATTCAAGATTTAATGAATCATTTTCAAGGAAGAGAATTAGCAAAGCAAATGAAAACTTTTCATTTTACTCTTGTTAGTTTTCTACAAAATCTTACAAATTGTAGTCCCGTGGAAAGTAAATATTTACTTCTTAAATTTTCAAAATAATTATTATTTTCATTAATAATTTAGTGAGTTATATGTGGCAGCTAAACTGAGTCACCATATTGTTTGAGAGTATAATATGATGTGAAGTTCTTGTGGTAGTGGCTATCATGGTTTCAACAAGACTTATTATATTACTTGTTATATACTGAACGTTATTGCCTTTTGATTTATGGAGAATTGCCTATGACAATTTATTTCTATCAAGAATACAGAAATATGACCTTATTTTCAATAAGACAAATTTCCTCTGAGGGTTTGAAATTATAATCATAAAATGCTTGGTTTATTTTTAAGAACCATGACTATATCCAGGTGACAAATGTTTACCTCATTCTTCCATGTCTCCTAAGTCTCAGCTTTCTCATCACATATCTGCCCAATTCACAGCTAAAACCTGTCTTACGGCTTTTGCTATAGCTTTTGTGTTGGAAGACAATAATTTTCTTATTTTAACAATTTTTTTTGATAGACGGAGTAAATACAGCAAAGCAAAACAAGAAGCGGATGAAGAAAAACATTTGAACCAAGGTACAAAACATTGGGGTGAACGAATTGTGTTTCTAGAGCATGTGTCACGTTTTCTAGTTTTCTAATGTCTAGATAAGACTAATATGGCCCTTAGTGATTATATAATGTATTCCTTATCCAAATAATACACTTTAAGGATATCAAACTGAAGTAGGTAATCCAAGACGATTTCAAGTGAAATGAAAGACACGGTCAACGTGGAGAAGTTCCTTCAGAATCTTCTTTCTCTTTATCTTAGCCTGAAAAAAAAAAAAATGTCAGTCAAGCTAGCATATTTCTGTAGCTTGGTGCAAGATTTAAATGGGTAATTTTTTCTTTTACTAGCTAAAAATTGGGGGAGGGCCAGTAAAAGTTTAAGAAATTGAACAGTAATTACTACTTCCCAAAAATGGCAGTATGTGATGTGAACTCAGTGACCCTCAACATTTGTTGAGTGGCTTCTAGGTGTTTTGATGTTCCAAATGGAGTCAAAGAATAAATTGTAAGAAGAGACTCCAGAATGACCTTGACAGCAGCAGTGGTTGACCTCTCCAGGAGCAGGTTGCAGTGGGACCCTGTGAGATGTTGACAGTGGGCTGTGGCTGCCCTGTTCTAGAAGACGTTCACCTGTGACCACACGTGCAATGGAATGTCGTAGACCATATGAATGAGGAAGAGAATTTTAAATCTAATTTAAACCCATTTACATTTTAATATCCATGGGTGGCTCATCACTAACAGAAATGAGTACCAGGAGGTAGGCGAAAGAGAGCGACTTGAGATTTTTTCTGCGGGAAGATTTTCTGACTAGAGTCTGAAAGCGACAAAGGATATGGGGTATCTGACAACTTGTTATCTGCCCACCTTGTTTTGTTTTTAAAACCATCCTTTTTAGTTTCGCCATGATACCTACCATGTTCATAAACAAAAACAATATACTAAAAAGAGGTAGTGCCAGGTGTGGTGGTGCACACCTGCAATTTCACTGGGAGGAATCCCAGGGAGACAGAACAGCAAGTTGGACACCAACCTGGACAACGTACAGAGACCCTGTCTCAAAATGAAAATAAATAAATAAATAAATAAAGAGGGCTGAGAAAGTAGTTCCATGGGAAAGAATCCTGGGTTCAACTCCAGCCCCCCCACCACCACCACCTACACACACATGCAAGAGAAGTAGCAAGAAAATGCCAATATGTAGATCATTCATATTAGTGGATGCAGAGACAAGGGAAGAGATGAACAAGGTTGGAAAATCAAAGAGATTGGGCCACACAATCACAGGGCCTCCAAGGAACTCCAGTGAGGACAGGTGCAAATGTCACTGGAAACTCTCATGGATGCCTGTCCCCAGCGTTTCTCAGAGCTCATGCTCTGAGTTTCATTTGTGTGCAGCGTGGCTGAATTGCACTTCCTGGCATCTAATCCATTCACAGTTAGGTCTCCACGGTTATCTCCAGCTGAAGCTTCCAGGTGAACATCAATATCTTTGCTTATTACACCTTTTTTCCAAAACAGAAAGAAAGTAGAGGTTCAGTAGAGTCAGTGTATTCTCAAATCAACTAGAAGATTTGCTCTTTTTGTCTATATTAACCAAGTCTATGTTCATTAACTAGAGGTCACGAATTTAACAGGTGGACAGTAGGTGAAATGTGACACTGTGGACAGGCCCAGCTGAAAAAGAAAGTCCCTATTTTCTTGCTAAGGGACAATAACTGAAAGTAGGGTTTGGACTTAGTGCAAGGACAGCCGTGAGCCTAGATAGGCTAACGATATTCAGCTAACACATTCCAAATTTCCTCCTAGAGACCATATTTTCCTCTGTGGGATGTGTTGTTTTTAAATTCTTGTCCTTGAAGTGGGAAGACATTCCAGGAAGTCAGTAGAGCTTCAGGGTCTTAAATAGCTAACAAGTCTTTGTCTACCCACTAACGAAAATCAGAGCAAGAAGTTAAAGTTTCTGTACACCCAAGACCACACAGCTAACCTGGCTTTTCCTACATTAAGGATTTTAGATCCAGACTACTTATGTTTATTAGTCATTCCTGAACTGTGTTCAGCCAACTTATTCCGTGCTCCTTACTTAGGTGTTAGGACTTATGTGGATCCCTTTACATATGAAGACCCCAACCAGGCAGTTCGAGAATTTGCCAAAGAAATTGACGCATCCTGCATTAAGATTGAAAAAGTTATAGGAGTTGGTAAGTCTGATTATCTGTCTAATAAGTGTATTTTCTTGGTGGATGTTATGTGGCTTATATAAATGGATGCACGTGTAAGAGTGTATTGTATGCACATTAATCTATGTAAACATGGATGTATACAAAATTTCCTTATTTGAAGTATAAGATGTGTTGTGTGATGAAAAACTCTGGCACAGATTTCAATATATTCCCAGGATAAAATTAATAAGCATATGAGATTGAAGTCAGATCGATGGCATTCAAAATGTTCACTCTACTTCTTACCAACTATAAGACTTTGGCCAGTTGTTTTCATTAAGTCTTAGTTTTCCCTGAGAAAAAATTAGAGCTAATAATAGCACCGACTTCTGAGTTTTGGGGAGGAGTAGGTGAAATCATCTATGTAATATGTATACACAGTGCTATCATGTAATAAGCATGCAATGAATGTCAACTATTCTTCTTTTATCTTAAATGCATTTCCAGTCTGTCATTGTAGAACCCTTTTCTCTTCCAAAGGTGAGTTTGGTGAAGTCTGCAGTGGACGTCTCAAAGTGCCTGGCAAGAGAGAGATCTGTGTGGCCATCAAGACGCTGAAAGCTGGATATACGGACAAACAGAGGAGAGACTTCCTGAGCGAGGCCAGCATCATGGGACAATTTGACCACCCAAACATAATTCACCTGGAAGGCGTTGTCACCAAATGTACGTGGGTCATTCCTGTCACAAAAAAGCCGAGTCCGAATTTACTGGGAAATTAAACACACATTTTCTTTCTAGGGAAATGACAGATGGTGCAGACCCACTGATTGCTAATAGGAGGAAATCAGTGCAGGACAAGTCATTAATCTTGTAGTCAGCTCTCAATGGGTCTACGATTTTGGCTGATACCCTATCTCCAAGGCAGCCTGCGTGAGATTTTTAGGGAAATTAATATTGCATATTTTTGGTACGCCAAGTCATCTTTCAAATCTTTACTAGACCAAACTGATTGTCACAGGGTAGGCACAAGCAGATGGTGAGCAAAATAAATTTTAAGTACTTTTCATATAAAGCACAACAAAACCTCCACACACCTTGCACTGGAAGCTTCTGTTCCAGATGCAGGGAGTGAATCTTGGGACTCTTCATTATATCAGGGGATTTGCTTGTCTACACTGCCTGATTTATGGCTCTTGCTGTTCAGCACCTATTTAAAGTAACACCTGGTTGAACCTTCCCTTTTTAGTCCATTAGCATTCGCTGAGCCTGTGAACTATGCTTCAGTTAAAATGCAACCCAGCTCAACAGATGTAAGGCTGGCTGAGGCCAACTTATGAAGTGTCCCACCGACTGTGCAGCTCAAGCAGTTACCATTTGAGGTGGCTCTGTTCCAGGAGCTATGGTACCTGCTGCAGTTAGTATAAGTCAAGGACCTTGCAGGTCTTGGCTCTGTCTTCAGTGAGGCCAGTGTTTCTCTTATTGATTCAAGGTGTGTGAGGAAAGCTTGTCAATCAGCAAGTGCAGAGAAGTGAGAATATGGCTACTTTGGTAGGTGAAGTGGGGATGAGGGGGGTTTCAGAGCAAATGGAGATGTTAGGTCTGGGATAGACTGGTATGGGATCCAAGGAACAAAGTCTTTAGGAAGAGGAAATGAGGAGACCACTAAAGAGTGAAAATATGCACCAGTTCAGAGGTTCTCAGATTTAAACCTACCTGAGGCTTTTCTGGAAGGTTCACTGAAATGGTTTCCTGGGCCTTGTCCCAAAAAGTTTGCTTCAGCAGCAGGAGTTTGGCAGGTCCAAGGGATCCCACTGTGCGAACCACTGGCCTAATGGATGAAAGACTTGCCTGTGAGTTCTATGGCTAGTAAACAGGTGACCTTGACTGGCGGCTCTGTCTTTTTCTTTCAGTTTCTTCATCTGTAAAACGGAGATTAAAAATAGAACTTGCCTTATGAATTTATTTTGCAATAAAATGAAATATTTAGAGTGCTTAACATAATGGCAGATTTTTTATTTTATTTTATTTTTTTTAAAAAAAAAAACAAGACCTCTTTAGTGTTATTCAGTAGTGCTATTATGTCTTAAGGAGTCCATCTTCCCTCATCCTCAAAATCCTTCCAAAAAGGAAACTAAGAAGATATAATTTTCTGCCTAAGGTGAAGACTATAATTAGCATAGAATAGCTCTATTTGCTTTTTAAGATTAGTTTTACAGACAGGATATTTTTCTGTTGCCTGTGGCCTTCAGGGTTGCCTCGAGCCCCTCACTACTTTAATTAAAAGATAACATTCCTGTTTAAATACTTCTGCAGGTCCATTTTCTCAAAAGGAGGCTCTGTTCAGCTTAGGCTGTTTTTCCTGCCGCAGACAGTGATTTTCATAGCACCTCTGCAGAGAAGAGAAGGAACAGGGAATCTTTGTATTAAAGTCCCACCGCGCCTCTAAAACCCGTAGCTATTACAGCTGTAACTGTTATAAACGACTGGATGCATTTGCATAATGCAGTTGTCACTGAATTAAAATGATTTAAAATTTCCACCAGAGAAGCTGTCCTGATCCCTCCTGTCTCCCCTCCCCCCTGCATCCCTGCCTGTTGCAGGGAAGGAAGTCACCTCCATCCATGAGCCCAGCCTGGGCCCACTTTATAAGCCCTCCTGCTTATGGCGACATTCATCTTTATTCCTCTTGCAGAACTCGTAAAGGTTCTGATGATAAATGGATACTTTTAGCGAACAGAAAAAGGAATGCAGAGAAATGGTGAAGATTGTGCCAGAAGTCAGACCAGGGAGGTGTGAGGGTGGGATAGAAGAGTGTGATTTCATTACAAGCAGTTACTTGAGGAACTTTCTACATTGACAGAAGGACCATAAATTCTCCCCACTACTCCCTCTCGGTTGGGTCTTCTACTCTTCTCCAAAGCTCCAGAGAAATCTGGTGAAATGAAAGTAGGTGTTAATACATGGCCCAAAGAGTCGCCCTTTTCTCATTAGTTGACAGAGTGTCCTTTGATTGAGGCAGGTTAATTAAAACCCACTTAGATGCATTTGTTCTGTACAGAGTCTGGTCCCAGATGGAGAGGGTAAATGTGTTCAAGGACTAAGAGCTTCCTACTTACATTGATGGAGGGTGGGAGTAAGTACCAGGACCCACCCCCCCTCCAGCAATGGAGGAATCTGGAAGAGTTCTTATTCGCCTTTTGGTCTGCACCAAGATTCCTACTTGTTCTGTGGGCTTTCATTCCTTACTTGAAAACACAATCTCCACCTTGTTATTTTGTGATGCAAAAAAAAAAAAAATGCTTCTGAAAGATTTCTTAGACATGACAATGAAAACCATGAAGAAAACATCAGACTTAACTGAAATTTAAAAATCTGACTCCTCAAAATGCTCACTTCTGAAGTAAAGATGTTTCCCACTTCCATATTGTAGAAATTACTGACAGTATCTTTGGGTGAAAGATTAGAATAGTTATGGGTATTCTTCTGTAGGGAAGTATCCAGACCATTTTCCCTGACTAAATGACTAAGCCCAGTCAAGGAAAACAGCAATAAATGTGAATATTTTTTATACATCAAACTGACATTTTGCTTTCATCTAAAGCAATCTTTTATGAACTCTTTCCTCTTAACTTAGTAAAAAATGGATGATTACCATTCTCCATCCCTCAACAATGCCCCGTGTACAGAAGGCATTAGATACCTGAAGTCCGATAAAAGTAATAAAGAGACCAAAGAAAGGTTCTTAAGGTTCCCAGAAAGAGAACTATAGTAAAGTGAAAGTGCTGCTTCTCTCCACTCCCCCAGGCCTGAAAGTCATTTTGATTTCTTTATGGACGTTCTTGTTTCAGATGAAATGATTTACTAACCCTTTCCCGTGATGGTTTTGGGATTTGTTTATTTGTTTTTTAAGATGGGAAGTTTAAGGAAGAAAAAAAAAAAGAAAAGAGAAAGATGCAGACCCTGACCAATACAAGATGAGGGAAAGCAGTTTATGTCGTGCGTACTTGGGTTTTAAGATGTGTCTGAATAATGAAGCATATCCAACAAGCTACTGCCCCCTGAAACTTGAGTGTGCCTAAATAAAGAAAAAAGCTTTCTCCATCCATTGCACTGTTAAGCATCACACAAGTGGCTCTTCTGGGAGCACAATAAATTAATTATCCTAAAGATTTTTTTCACGTTTAAACAGGCCTGCCCATTTATCGTTTTCCCCTTTTGCTTGAGAGAGCAATTATCCATTGATGTGCTCCCGAGGTACCCGAGGCCACTTTCGTTAAAGACCTTGTCAACAAGCCACCCAAAGGGTTAACCTTCCAGATGGAGTTTACACCTACTCGTCCTTTTAATATTTCATTCCTAGCTCCCCACAGCTGAGGCATAAGCTTGGCTTGTTTTAATTAAATTAGATCGCACAAGACAGGTGTCTTGGCAGTAAAATTGTGCACAGCCCATTTTTATCTCATTAACTGCAGCGCTCATCAAGGGTTTTTGTTTTTCTTTCTGAAAACTCTAGGTAAACCAGTAATGATCATAACAGAGTACATGGAGAACGGTTCCTTGGATGCATTCCTCAGGGTACGTATCTACTTTCTATTAAACCCAAGAATACTGGTATTTAGAAAAACCCCAACAGATTCCTTCTATCCATCTTGGGTGGTTGTACTCATGGACTTTTTAAAATGGAGAAATAAAGAATGATGTGATTTTTAAGGCTGTTAAATAATCCATGGATAATGAAAGGAGTGTTTGATTTATTCTTGTATCATAGAGCTGCTCCAGCCACAGATTCATTACAGTTGGAAAATTTCCATCTATCAGGAAGCAAACCTTGCTTCTAGGGTACACTCTACTAGTGACTTTGATCAGAAAGGCCCGGAAATAATGCTGAGTTTCATTGCATACCGGATACAGATATATATATATATATATAAAACCCCAAGTAATAAATGCTTGTCGAAATTAATTTCTCCTAATGCTAATTGGATTGTTCCCTGCCCCTTTCCTGCGCAGAAGAATGATGGCAGATTCACAGTCATCCAGTTGGTGGGCATGCTGCGTGGCATTGGGTCTGGAATGAAGTATTTATCTGACATGAGCTATGTGCATCGTGACCTGGCTGCACGGAACATCCTGGTAAACAGCAACTTGGTCTGCAAAGTGTCTGATTTTGGCATGTCCAGAGTGCTTGAGGACGATCCAGAAGCAGCTTATACTACTAGGGTAAGGGTGACTTGCCCTACTGGGCTTTCATGTTGATTAGACTGGACTTCTTGTCACACCTCGATGTTTAAGCCCGCTGTGATTTGTTTTTGTTGTTATTTTTGTTTTAAGTCCCTGCACCCTTTTTTTAAACCACATTTCTAAATAGAAAAAAGAGGAATTTTGAAGCAGACTCTGAAACAAATGACAATTTTACAGAACCATAAACTACAAGCAAAAATGAATTCTCCTCTGAATTTTCCTTGTATTTTTTTTACACTTAAGTTGGCTCTCTTGCTTTCTTCACTTTCTTGTCTGAGATCTTCTATTTGGCTCTTTTCTGCTCTTGGAAAAGAAATCATTTTTCTAAACAAGACAAAGCAATGTTTCTAGTTGGTTGACTGCTGAATCTTAGAATACATATGTAGAAGTGATAAGATGGATAACAGGGTTGAGGCACAGTTAAGAGTATTCAGAATACAGTTAATGGCCATGCTATCTTAATCTGAAAATCTGCATATAAAATACTAATGGAATCAACACAGAATCATAAAACAGTTATTGGCTATTAGGGCCAACACTGTTAAAATCAACGTGAGGCACTCACCAGACAATTTCCCCTTTTAACACTCACCACTTTTCCTCTGCAATTCCAAGCCTTGAGGTTTTTGGCTAGAGTTTTTTTTTTTTTTTTTTTTGGGGGGGGGGTGGCATTCAATTAAATTTCTTTGGCCCTTGGTTTTGATGCTTATAGCATTCTCTTTTGAATTCCAAGTCCATTTGTTAAGGAAATAACACTTCTTTGTGAAAGGTAAAGATCTCTTATTTTTTTTTTTCCTAGTAGTTGAAGATAGGAAAGTCAAAGGAATCTTCTAGTGTGATAGAATTCTTAGAGACACACTTAATGCAGGCAGAGGAGCACCAGTGTCCTGAGGTGAGGAGTAGGAACACAAGGAAGGCCCTGGGTTACAGAATGAGGGGCCGTGCATCACAGCAATTCCCAGGAAGACTGATCGTTTAGTAGCCCTAATAAAGCCAAGGAAACTTGTAAAACAATGCTGCTCCCACTGCTTAGGGGTCTGAATTCAGGCTGAATTCATTTCTCCAGATGGAATTCTCAGAAATTTGAAATTCAATTAAAAATATGTTGCACATAAGGATAAACTAAGAGCTGGGAGGTGGGTGGGTGGGGTTGGGAAAGCATTTTAAACTTTTCCTGGGTAATGTTCCTGGGGATTGAACCCAGGGCCTCAGGCATGCTAGGCAAGCACATTACCATTGAGCTAAATCCCTAGCCTTTTTAAAGTGTTTAAAAAACCCACATAGACAAAATAATAACTTAATAACTAAAATCTTGCCCTTCCTCCACTAAAGTCAGTAATGGATTTAATATCTGGCATTACTTTTGGCTTTCTCTCAGGGCCTATTGATGCTTATTATCTTCTAGATGTATCAAGCATGTTTCTCATGCTTTGTAAGACTAGAAAGACAGTGTGATGGACAAGAATTTTCATATTTATCTTTCTTTATCCCTGATTTCTGATGCATTATTAAGCATTACCTTTGTACTGCTGGATGACAGAATTCAGCAAGAAGTCAAAACAAATGTCAGCCACAAATATGCTTTGATATGCCCTGGATAGCATGTGTATTTTGTAAAACCTGAGATTCCCTCTCTTCTATGATATTGCCTCAAGCAAAACTCAGGTAATAGGTAGAGTTTTAAAAAAATAGGTAGACAGATTACTTGTTCACTTCCCTGTGACTAAAGAAAACAGATGAAGAGAACCACCTCAACTTAGAAGACTTTAGTTAAAATAAACACATCTCTTATTATTGTTTTGATTGCTATCTCCAGAATGCCATGGTCTTGCTTGGCAAGTAGTAACTGCATTCAGAAATGAAAATAGCATGTCAGTGATGTACTTAGGGACTAACTTATGGCTCCAATGTCACAGGGTGGCAAGATTCCTATCCGGTGGACTGCGCCAGAAGCAATTGCCTATCGTAAATTCACATCAGCAAGTGATGTATGGAGCTACGGAATCGTTATGTGGGAAGTGATGTCGTATGGGGAAAGACCCTACTGGGACATGTCCAATCAAGATGTGAGTCTCTGTGTCCTGAAACATGTCTTTATATTGAGATTCAGAAAGTTGTGCATTACTGCATGGTATCCTGTGCTTTTGGCTTCAAATGATGCATTAAAGCTGAGGTTTTTAATACAAATGTGTCTTGAGATCCACTTCTACGGTGTGATCAACAGTGACTTTCCGTTTCAAAGACTATGGTATAGTGTGAGAGATAGACCCGTAGATAAACAGTACGGGTTAATATGTTCAGCCGGCAGCAGACTTTTAAAATCAGACTGAAACAAAATTGAACTTTGACTTTTAAGAAAATGCAAGGATTATGAGAAAACAAATTTCACATGTGATGAAACTGACATGAAAGAAAACTAGTGAATATTTTAAAGCTGGCATAGTTGTAATTAGAGTTTGCCCCTTGAGGACTCTAAAATAAAGCTCCACTAAATGACCCTTTGTAAATTATGCACATCCCTTTAAATGTACCATCTGGACTAGTTGGTAAGGGAGTATCCACAGTGCCTGCAATTTCAGAAAAGCATTCAATAATGACACTAATAAGATTCCAGAGTAATAGAATTTAATTACAAACATCTCCAGTGAGGAAGGAAAAAAACAAGAGAAAGCCCCAGATCAGGGGGTCTTCCTAGAACATGTTTTTACTAATTCTGCAAGAGGTTTAGTATAGGAAGGGTTGGAAATCTGATCAAAATAACATGGTCACCTCTACTTCATGAGCTTTACTAATTTTTTTTATCCATCAGTTAGAACATTATCAGAGAGTGTTTCCAAATGCATGGTATTCAGTTTATCAATTGAAATTCTATTTTAGAAAGCCTTCTTTTCAAAAAGTCTCTCTGACCATCCGCCTTCTCCTCACACAGCAGGAAGTTGCAAAGTCTTGACAATTAAACAAAGACCCAGGTGAACTTAAATAGAATGCAGGCTGCCTTATCAGTAAAAGAATGTCCAGAGTCATAGAGACACTAATGCACCCCATGCCTAGTGTGACAGAAAGATTCTACTGTGACTAACCAGATTAAAGGGAATGGTAGAACCCACACTGTATTATCTGTAATTTGTTAAAAAAAAAAAAAAAAGAATAGTCATGGTAGATGGGAAGAAATATGGCAGCCTGCCTAAGTGATAGGTAATTATGAAGGTGAGTAATGTGTATACTCCATTGTTTGATGTGATTATATAAGGTAGAGACCTTCAAATAGCAACATTAGATTCAGGTTAGAGATTCTCAGAGGGACAAAGAAAAACAAACTAAGTGAGCAAGCAGTGTATGGACTTATTTACTGACTATTTCACTTATGAGTCATAGCCAAATATCTATAAGAACAGAGTATCTAAAGATGATCAGTTTTTTCCGCCCTAAATGTTTTCAGACCTGTAATTTTGACAGGTTCTATATTACATTAAAACGATTTGGTTGTTTTACATTTTCAATCTTCTGGCTGAATCTATAAAAAAGCATTTCAATCCATTTCTGGCTCACAAATAATATCAACCTATCATCCGCTTCTGTGTATTTGTCTCTATGCTGGATTCTGGGTGGAACAGGAATCAATAGGAAATGTAGCTGGAGAATGACTTTCCTAAGCAGAATTCATTCAGCCTAGGGGAAATGGAGTGAAAGTAACTGTTGAAAATGTGTCCAACTTAGCAAGTTTTTTTGTTTGCTTTAATCCTTTGCCCCCATAAGATTCATCAGTACACTGAGAAAATATGCTTTGTTAACCCACAAGCAATCTTCCAAGCTGACAGTGGAGAACGAGTATAGGTAAGGGTATTAATCAGTCAGGGGGGTTACAGAAAATTGAAGTTGCCCTGGCACCAGCCCAGTGCTGCTTACATTCTCATCCATTCAATCTAAAATGTTTCCATCAAGTCTGGAGTCAATATTGTGTACCAGGTAAGATAAAAGAAAGCCAGAGGATCAAATTGACCTAGGGTAGCTGCCAGAAATAAATAGGATAGAGTTAAGTGAGATAGCATAGAAGTAGGTACTACTAATACAACAAGAACCCATGGGAGGGAAAGGATCATGGGGGCCCTTAAATTAAGAGGCTTGTTATCCAGAAGCAAAGTGCTGATTAAAAAGACAACAAACTGGTACAGAAAAATCGGATCCAGCTGGATCCACAATGTGGAGGGCCAGTTTCTGTGCAGTTATAGATTCAATGCAGAGAAAATCAGTGGGGTGATTACAGAATCTGCAGCCACTGTGGGTTTCTTTGGCAGCCATCATGTTGGTAGGCAGGGAAGAACATGCACTGATTTAAAACAAATAAAACTTTTTAAAGCCTCAAACAAATAAAAGCATTTACAGGATCTCATTGGATACTCATAAACAAAGCTTATGCATAGCCAAGAAACTGTGAAGTCATTCCCCTCTTTCAGTTTGGCATGCATCGCACCCTATTACATTACCCGGATTCACACCCTGAAGGGGAAGGGGATTAGAGAAGAGCCTATGAGAAAACCGTGTAACACTTCCAAGGCTAGATTAGAAAAAACTAGGATTAGCAGGGAGACTGTGGAATGATGTGTTTCTTTCTTATTAGGCAAGGAGACCAGTCTGGATGGTCCTGGGCAATAGGACAATCATCACCTACCATTATTACTGCCTTCCTTAGGTGTCAGGGCTCCTTTTCCAATATAAATGCCCTAAAAGGAGTCATTTTTTTTTTTCTTGACACTTTTTAAAAAATCTACTTATACTTTTAACACAGTCATCACTTAGCCATTTGAAACCAGAAAAAGATATAGAATTGGTGCCTAAGGGTGTGGTCTTCCAAAGGGAAACTGGCTAAGCATGTAGGAGATGGGGGCTTGGAGTTGGCCCATTCATGTCTGAGCAGGGGGACACAGGCTTAAGCTGAAGCAAGGGAATTACATTACATCCCCCCTGGGGAAGGTCTTGGGCACTAGAGAGTCTCTTGCTAGGAGTGTGTAGGTGTGCTAATGCTGCATAGAGGAGAGCAGAGGGGCAGTGGCAGAACCAGGTGACCCGAGGGCCGTCTCCAGAGCTGACATCATGTTCCTGATCTAGCTGGCTTCTAACTACTGAGGAATATTGCTCATCTTCATGTCCAACTGGCATTGCTTGCCATTTGAGGATACCTCACAGCAACAGCTGGTTTCCCTCTCTCCATGCCAGTGAGACTTGGGTCTGTCTTTGGCTTCTGTGAAGGAGTTGGAACCGTGCCCCTGCTCAAGCTCGCTGGCACAAGAAACATGCTCGTCTGGAGGGTGAACCTCTGACAGCAGCTCGCCTGGCGGCTTAACCTCCCATCCTGTTGTCTTCTGCAGGTGATTAAAGCCATCGAGGAAGGGTATCGGCTACCTCCGCCAATGGACTGTCCCATTGCCCTCCACCAGCTGATGCTGGACTGCTGGCAGAAGGAGAGAAGCGACAGGCCTAAATTTGGGCAGATTGTCAACATGTTGGATAAACTCATCCGCAATCCCAACAGCTTGAAGAGGACGGGGACAGAAAGCTCCAGGTTGGCTGTGCTTACCTAAGAGTGAGGGATGCGGCAGGGGACTGGAGCTGGCAGACCAGTGGTGACTCAGTTTAGTTCCTGACTTTTCTTCAGCGGCCACTTCATAGCTCTGTATAATCTGGGCAGCTTCTTTCTCAATCAGTGGAGTATTTAAGACAGTTCTCTCCATCATTTTGATCAGCCTCGTGCCTGTCAGGCCTCAAATGGTGGTAAGAATTTTAAAAAAAAAGAAAAGAAAAGAAATAAAGTGCTTCTTTTATGATGCTGGCCTTAAAAATTTAGGAAGAGGGATGAAATGCAGTCTTAGAAGACATTTAGGTAAGTAGATGCTATGTTTTGAAAAAGGAAAAGGAAAAAAAAACATTGAAATAGTGAGGAATTAAGACTGGAGGATAGATCTCTAAACTCTGCAATTTTAAGTCAATTTACCAAGTGTTTGTACCAAGAGAGCCTTGAGGTCTGGTTTTTCTGCTTTCCCCTTTCTGAATCTTGCAGAGCAGGGTATAGGAACTGGTGATGTTGCAGAGCATGCAGATGCATGTTAAAGAAGGGGTTTGAAAACCAAAATGATTGGACCAGCTGTGAAGACGGTGGTCATTTCATTGGGAGAAGCAGCAGGAGACGCATCAGTCTACTAGGAACCTAGAGATACATAATTGCTATGATTCACTAGGAAGCGTTTTCTACGTAGAGTCTAGGCTTTCCTGCCAACAGATCTGGGACACATAGAAACAGTCCCAGCCTGGAGATGTCAAAGAAATCATTAGGGGAGCCTTCAATGACTAGGAGAATCGTAATGTGTGTCTTTGCCAATTTGTGACAACAACAAGAATCTATTTTGGATTAAGAAACCAACAATGATAAGACTAGTGTCCCAGGCCTGTGTGAAGTGCCTACGTGCCTCCAAATTGGAGCTTGTCTTTCAGCATGACCCGGAGTCAGAAACAGAAGGGCAGTCTTCTCAGTCCCTATGTCCAAGGCCTTGTAGTGTTTGCAGGCCCTCTGGGTCCTCCCATCTTTCCACTGAAAATTTAGCTTAAATGTCCTGGAAAAGAAGGGACACATTTGTGATCACAACACGTGAAGAAGAATTTGGAGTAAATGGAAAAAAAAAAAAATCCCTCTCTTCTCTAATCTTTCAAATCCCTCCCATTGGCCACTAGACTAAAACCATCGTGGCCCGTGCTCTTTGCAAATAACATTGAAAAGGGCTGAATTCACATCTTACCTCTGCCATGTGTTATCAGGAAAAAAAAGAAAAGAAATCTACCATTTCTGGGATATTCTTTGTTACTCTTTTCTCTGAGAGGGTAAAATAATTTACTGTGAACCCTCCTTTCCAGGGGAATCCAGTCTCTTCAATTCCAAGGTCAATCTCCTCCAGCTGTTAGATCTTTAGCCACAGAGCCCAAGCATTCTGCACAAAATTAGGAAATGTCATGCCATTCCATAAAGAACACAAAGCCTTCCAGAACAAGCTTGAGAAAGACCGATAGAGTTAATTGATGTGAGTGAAGATGTTTTTATCCTAAGTTCATGTTGATCTTGTCAAGGCACTTAGAGCCTATATCTTACTCTGTCTGTGTACATGGCTTAAAGTTGGAAGTAAATGCAAACTATCGGTCATTATTTACCAACAAATATTGCTATACATCTAATACTCAGCTAAACAGCTAAAATTTGACATGATAGTATTTGTCACTAACTCAGAATGGGAGAATTAAATTTTGACTATTCTCTCTATGAACATCTGAAGAATTTTACTCAGAAAATTAGAAATAAAGGACACAACAGAAAGGTCAGACAGGCAAACTATCATTTGGACACAAAATTGAGAAATTAAAACGTAGTCTTTGTTAAAATATTTATGTTAAAAGAAAGCATGCATATCAAAGTAACATCAAAAATGAAATATTTTAAAATGAATTTAAAAATGGACTACTTCTGCTATTAGAAAATTAATCAAGACATTATATTAATTTTAGTTTTTTAAGAATTTTTTTTTTGTTTAAGAATTCAGTAGTAATGATGTAATTCCAATTTAAATGTTTGTACTCAAATATAATCTCAAATGAAAATCAGGACAAAATGTTAAAATCAAACACAGTTTGTGATTTTCAGGGAAAAGAAAAGTTCAAGAAAATATAATTTAACAAATAACAGTATCGCTATGTGGGTAATTATAGTAAAGGTGTTCTAAAATACCTCTTAAAGATCTATCCTATAGTTATTAGGTAGTTTGATGATGAAGATGACTATAATTCTCTTAATAAATACTTTTCATAAACAGGTGATTTATTGTACATCAATATCAAGAGGAGCCACAGAATTCCTCCTGTCTGTGTTGTTCTTGACAGGGATGTAGTATAAAACACCTGGCTTGAGAAATACGTAAACTAATAAATAAGTTAATAAGAAGTTCTTTGAATCTGTTGAAATCATTATTCAGGAGCCCAGCAAAGAAGCACATTCCATAATCCAAACAGTGATCAAAGTGGCCATTCTTCCTGCCAGTCTTGGCACACGTGCTGGTCAGGCATGGGCTGATTAGAGGGGATTAACTCCCTGCTGGCCTGAGTTTGTATGACTGCACCCGCCTGCCTGCAGACCCGGCTGGAACCATGATGGACTTGAACCCTTGCTGTTCCCGCCACTTTGCTCAAGACTGGCAGGTTGCGGGCTTGCAGTTTTCCTTGCTCATACTTCAGTAAGGTTTCCATAGTTGCTGAACCTAAGCCCATGATATTCAGAGCTGGCAGGGACTGAACAGGCTTCAAGCACAAGAGCTCCCCCAAACTTTACCCCAAGCTAGGGTGTTAACTGCTATAAGAGGACCACATAAATCAAGGGCAGGAAATGGAATTAAGAATGAATAAGAACGATGGATACATACTTTAGCAGCTTTGTGAAATAAGGGCAAAAAAAAATCACATGGTTCCCTTTGACCACAGTTGTTCTGTTTAAAACCTCTTGGCTTTTTAGCTCCCCTGGCCTGTTTTAGGCAATCCCACTTCTGAGCCTTCCTGTCGTACCGATGGCGCCTGTTCGTTTATACTCTCTTGTTCTCTTTCCAGGCCTAACACTGCTCTGCTGGATCCCAGCTCCCCTGAATTCTCTGCTGTAGTATCTGTGGGCGATTGGCTCCAGGCCATTAAAATGGACCGGTATAAGGATAACTTCACAGCTGCTGGTTACACCACCCTAGAGGCTGTGGTGCACATGAACCAGGAGTAAGTACTCAGCGATGTAACACCAAAGGGTAAATCTAGATTTAATAGTATTTTCCTTTTTTTTTTTTCTTTGAACTCCATAATCAATAATCATCCTACTCATTAAAAAGAAAAGAAAAGAAAACTGGAATGTCTGTCATCCTGATTCAGTGTAATTTTACACAATCTCTATATAGCACCTACATTGTTGCATTAAATTGCTTGATTGAACATTTTAATACACCTGCCTTGTTGTGCTGTATCAATTGTGGTTGATTCAAATGTGTGTCTGCATGAAGTCGGGAAACCCAGCTTCTCAACCCCCTTAACATTTTCTCTCCCTCTCTTTATGGCCTACCTACAGCGACCTGGCAAGGATTGGCATCACGGCCATCACACACCAGAACAAGATTCTGAGCAGTGTCCAGGCCATGCGAACCCAAATGCAGCAGATGCACGGCAGGATGGTCCCTGTCTGAGCCAGTACTGAATAAACTCAAAACTCTTGAAATTAGTTTACCTCATCCATGCACTTTAATTGAAGAACTGCACTTTTTTTACTTCGTCTTCGCCCTCTGAAATTAAAGGAAAAATTTATCTGCAGCGTCGCTTGGTGTACAGATTGCTGAAACTGTGGGGCTTGCAGAAATGACAGCCGGTCACTGGAATCAGACCTGGAACAAATTGTTTCTCACCAGTACTTAAGTCCATCACCAGTCTGTAAAATACCTGTACCTATATAAATAGATCTTTGCCTCTGAGTTTTGATGCTGTACTTGCTGCCAGACCCTGCACTGCTCTGAGATGTCCTTGACCCTCCCTCCATTTGGAATTACAACTGCAGTATTTTGTTTGTGGCATAATTGACACTCGTTTTGCTCAACTGGAATTATGACCATGCCCAGGAACATTTTTTAAAGGACTCGGTTGTAGCATTTAAAGCTTTCTTCAAACCACGGGAAAAGACCTGGGTGAAAATCTTGTGGCTCACCCATGCAGCCTCCTCAGGGCTCACGTCACCTGGTAGATTCCTGTGACAATGGGGGCTGGAAAGAAAAGAAAAGTGGATATTAAAAAAAAAAAAAAAAATTCAAACCCCATAATCCCTAACTGAACAATTGAGGTCTGTTTCTTTGGGCCTGAGGCTGTGCCATATAAAGTCTTACTTGGGACCCTGCAAACTTATAACTACCTTATGGATAGTGGGCTGTGACAATCTTGACTAGGAAAATTTCATACTACCCTCCTTTAAAGAAGCAATCCCCCATCTACAAGGTAAGTCAAAAGAACCAGCATGACAAGTCTCTCTCCAATAAACCCCTCCCTGCCCTTGAATTTTTTCAGTAGACTTTATCTCATCTGAAACACTGTGCGCAAAACATTCTTTTCCATCTATCAGGTAGGGTTGGGTTCTTTCAGGATCTCAGTCCTTTCTTGACAGTAGGAGTGGAGACCCAAACAGAAAGACGCTCCTGAGGTTCTTCCATGGGGAAGTGAAGTCTGTATTACACGAGGTGAAGTCAGGTTCCGGAGGGTGAGACCCAGACCCCACTGGCTGTGGGTTCTCTCAGGAAGGTTCCTCTTGTCCTTTGGTACCTCTTGTTCAGGCTGTGCCTGTCAGTGACTGTCTTATGGGTGTTGGGCAAGAACCTCAGGAGCCTTTCTCCCCAATGGCTGGATCATGGGCCCATCCTCTGGAGGGTTTGTTTTGCTGGAGAAGCATTGGGAAGTCTTTCCTTTATCCTCCTGGCTCCTAAAACCCTTTACCAGACAGGATTAGGCAAGGAGATTTGTCTTCAGCCTTGACTTTGTCGTTATCAGAAAGTGACCACTAAAAATGCACTGTTCATCCACAAGCCCACAACTTTTCTTTTATTCTCCAGAATTTTCTTATTGAAACAGGTGAATTAAATGGCTTTGTTCATTCCTAGAAGTAAAAGACCTAACGTTGACCTGGGAAAATGTTAACTATTTTTTTAAATTATTTTTTTTTCACTTTTAAATGAAAGCTTGGCTAATTTTAATGACCTTTTTTTTTTCCCCCTCTCTCTTTCAGTTTTATCCTGAAAGCTATTTCTTTCCAAGCAAGGAATGTTAAATTTGATGCTGTCAAACCATGACAGTTTAGTCAAAACCTTTTTTGCAACATTAGTTGTAAAAGCATTTCTGTTCAGAAAGAATGTGAAATTTGTTCCTAAAACTAGTCCAGCAATTTTTATTTTATCACCATGCTTGCTGAAGTCTAGGAATTCTGGATGTTCATGTTAAAAGTTGACAAATGTAGGCAAATGATTCTTCTTTTTATTTGCTTTCAAAATTTTTATTTTATTTTTTTCCGGAAAGCTGTGGAGTATTTTACTTCTAATATGTACAGTCAGCAGCATTATGAAATTAGACTTTAAGAAAAAACAGAATGTTAACCTTGCATTCATTGAATAATTAGAATTTTTGCATTCTTTAAAGTCAGCAACTTAGGACTTGAAGTATTTTTCTAAACATTAGACATACTCAAAGCAAAACTTTTCCAAAGAAAGGGAAAATTATCTAACAAGTCATCATCTGTTCTGAGGCAGTAGTTTTGCCACTGCCGAGCAGGTATCTCCAAATGAAATAATCAGGTGGAACATGAAATCCTATGTCATTCAAAGGTCACCTTCTGAACCTTGCTTTTAACACATTCATATATTCGGGTCAAGGCCAATAGAAAGACAAAAATGGATTTTCCAAGTGTCAAACATAATATCCAGTAGCAGTAAAAGCCTTTCCTACCCCCATTCCCTCGATGCAGTTTTAGAGGAGTAATGGCAGAACAATAGAATGTTCCAGTGTTTCCTGAGGCTGGAGCCAGACCCTGGCATCCGGACAGCTATGGATTCTGAAGCCAACCCAAATGTTGACACTGGGAAGTTCACCCCACTTTTCTTTATAACTCAATTCTTCCGCCTGTGAACCAGAAAGCTAATAATACCTTAGTAATAACACCTTTCTCACAGCCTGGTATTGTCCAATGTGTATGTGAGATGTTCTCAGGGAAAACAGTGTACTCCACAGCTCCGGGCACCCTTGTGTCTGCCCAGCTCCAGTGTCACTCCTCTGTCTTTCTCCTGTGTTTCGGGATATTTTGCTGCCCATGCCCCAGTGGGGTGAAGTGCCTTTCTGTGGCTGGGGCCATACACCTGAGGTGCCTTCACCTTAAACGTGGGAATACCTGAAAGGTGGCGGTCCTATCGAATGACACTCAAAAGGATTGGCATGCACATTTTAGGCTTGAAGTTTATGAAATTACTATTTCATAATTGAAAAGAGTGAAAAGCACAAGTGAAACCCCACTTGGATGCAAGCGGTGGAAATGGGCAGGGTGTTCTGAGGTCTGGGTGGTTGACTTGCAGGAGCAGCACCTTGTTTACTTAGTCACTGTGGATTCTCTTTTAACAACTGTGACCCCCTTGTAAGCCAATTGCTTTATCCAAGAAATTACCCATGATAGAGGAGTTGCCCTAATTCAAAGGAGAGGGATATATGGTCTCAACTTTTCTTTTGCGATCAACTAGATGGACGCCTTCACATTCCCACACTTGTAACTTCAGGTGTCCAATCATTTTCATAGAAACAGAAGTCCCCCCAATGCCCACTTAACACTGCAAATATATTTACATAGTAGATATTTCATTCCAGGTGTTAAGTGAAGAAGGGGCTTGGCAGATGGGAAAAGAGTGTGTTTATAAGACCCCTCTTTCCTCTGCAAGAATGAAATTTCTGGTAGCAAAAGAAGTTCTTCATCAAAAAGTTTGCCTCTCCCCCTAGCATGATTGCACTCTAGAGTTTTAAGGTCAAGTTCACTTTCTCCTTGTCCTTCACATAAATGCATGCTTGCTGGGTGAAATTCCTGCGCATTCAGGTTTCAAAAATTACATTTGATGAGCTTACTGATTTCCTCAGAGGAAAGAATTAGAAAAATATATCCAATTCTGTTTCGTTTCTTCTTTCCTTTTTCATAATTTGTTACAATGAACAACCTTAGTACCTACAACTCACTTCTTTTTTATTAACACATGTTAATTATACATATTAGTGCATTGCTATGTGATATTTCCAAACATACACACAGCGTATGCACTGATCAAATATAACTCCCCTTTTCGCACCCTTCCTTCTATCCCAAACAAATGACTTTGAAGATATTGGTAGTTACACCCTAGCCCACATTTAAATTTTCAGTAACTATAAAAAATATTCTATATGAATAATTCATAAGGCTTTATTTCTGTCTCTCCAAATAGACTACGTTTTTTTTACATGTTTAAATACGATCATTTAACTCAAAGAAATTAAATTTAATTATTTCTTCTTATAAACACATACCTACACAAAAGAAAGAAACAATTGATTGGATATAATAAGACAATCATCTGTAGTAGTGCAGTGTGGTCTCGCTTCCTGCCCTCCACTTAAAGCCAGTGCTATGCACGGCCCCTCTAATGGATGCAGTCCAAGAAGAACTTTGAAGGGAAATAAAAGGCCAACAACTGCTTCTCCTGGTTTGAGGCAATCCTTTGACAAATGAGAAGATGGTGAGGAGTCTAGAGGGTTCCTTGCTTTTTTTGTCAGCCTGATTTGGTTCTAGACGGAGGCCTGGGCATTTGTCTGGATTGTGGCTGATGGGTTCTTGGTGTGCCGAGGTGGGCTGGATCTCTCACCTCCCTCACTGACATCAGCAGTTTCTCCACCTTTTTTTTTTTTTTTTTTTTTTTAAATTTCCAATCATTAGTGATGACTACAAGCGATTGTGGACTGAAATAAGCCACGATCCTCATTTCAAAGAGTCTGTCTGTCTGACATAGTGATTCAGGAGTGGCTGTAGACTCTGGCTTTGCGAGTTCTGATCACAGCTTTCAAGGTCAGAGTATATGACCTTGGTTACACAGGCCTCTCTGTGCCTCAGCTTCCTCATCCATACAATAGGTTTACATAGAGCACCTGTCAGAGTTGTCACCTAGTTGCTGACAGATATTATTTTTGTAATTGTCTTTATGACTTTTCAGAGGAGGAAATTAGGAATTCATTATGTCACGTCTAAACTACTTTCACTGAGCCACGCCAGCTTCTATAGACCTGTATTCTTCCACCCGATATTTGTTGACAACCAACAGGGAATACTGTTGATGTGTTGTCTAAAGTGTTGTTCTCTTCTCTACAGGGAATAGAATCTGCTATCTTGGCCTCACAGCCCTTCCTGTTGATTACCAAGCCCTTGGAAGAAAACAGAAAACGCCTTTCTCAGTTCCTTCCAGATGTGTTTCTTCTGCTTCTGTTGTGCCAGTTCTGGGGCAAAGACACTGAAGAAACAGCATGGATACCTGGGAAGAATAAATGTCTGATGTTCCCATCTCCCTTCCCAGTGGAAAAGCAGCAGCATCGAGGTTCAGCATCTGTTCTCCAGTCGCATTGAGGAATGTACTGCCTCACGGCACCAGCTCTGCAGAGCCCTTGCTCCCTAACTCCTGATTTAATTTATATGTATTTCCATATTTCATTCCTGTACGTCACGGCTGCATTGGTGTGGCAGCAAGTGACCAAAGGCTACAGGTTTTATTATGGACACCAGTCAGGTGCCACCATACAGAACAAAGCCAGTTCCCATGAGCTGCCTATGATATGCATTGCTGAAGTGACATTTTACCCAGGGTGTGCCATTGCAGTGATATAAATATATTTTTTTCCTAGACTAAATATGAGCTGACTATCTCTTTTGATGTGTGTACATAGGTGTGAGTGTGTGTGTGTGCGCGCGTGCGTATGTGCGTGTGTGCGTGTATAACCTCATGCTTAGAACTGCCTGTGAATGTTGTGGAATGCTACACCTGGAAAGTTCTGGTTTCTCACCAGTTCAAGATAAAGAACCGTATGATGTATTGGGCCTGGAGACGGTGCCCGTTCCCTTGGGAAGACAACCTGGAAATGTTAAATGTCCTGTATCTATATATGTATTTCGTAGCTGCCACACTAACCTTAAGAAGTAATTCCACAGCTCTGGATGGAGGCAATTTCACCTTATAATGGTGGAGTAATTTTACAATATAAATCCATTCAGGTGACAGCCCATCCATGAAATCACAGATTCTGATTGAACTCATCAGACTCACCAGTTCTCAGTGGAGAGAGAAGGGGAAGGAATCCGTCTAGAAGCCCCACGTGGAGTATAAGTAGCCTTTGTTTCCCTGCATAAATGGACTTGTTGAATGCGAACAAATATATGCAATTCATATACTTTTGGAGATGAACGTAGTTATGTGTGTCAGCTTTGAGATGATGTGTCCGGATTAATACTTTGTCTCCCGATATCACAGAAAAATACATGCCAGTGACTCTTGAGGTTAATGTACTTGGGATGAAATGATCTCAAACAATTTCAGGTTCCCAAATTACATGGAAAGTTCTCGAGTAATTCATATGCAGCTAACTCCTCTTGCCTCAAAAGGGCGTCAGTCTTCTAGAATCCGAGCTCCAGTATGTGAGGATTCAGTTCTGATACGATACGTGTACCAAACTCCAGCCAACATACTGCCATTTTAGATAATCCGAGTGGCTGCCTTGCTTATTCTAAGCCGTGGTTGCAGAAACTGTGGCCATTTATATAAGCTATAACATCAAATCAGGGAAAAATGGGGAAAATGATTCTGAACCATATATTGTTGAACAAGTAGAGGAAAATCATCAATAAATATTTATTGCATTCTGACAGGGTGTGTGGCATTGTATTCTCATAACTATGCCAGAGTGACAAAGTTAATTCACCCCTTTTTGGGGACCTTAATATATTTTTAAAGGGATGTGCCTATGCATTGATGCCTGAAAAATATGTATAAAGAAATGAGGATGAATCTCTGAGCAGGTCATCTTTCCCAGAGGTAAGGGTAGGGGTCCAACTTCTGGGCTGCATCTGGCCCACGAGCAAGCACTGGTCTAGTGAGCTTAGATGCTACATCATTCTCAGATCTTCTATTAAGCAGAGTGAAGCTTTCCCCTGCACCAAATCAAATAGCTTCACCATGTGTCTGCGGGCTCCAAATTATTTTTAGCGATCTTATAAGTGAAATGTTCTGGTGTGTTTTAAAAAGTTACATAAAAGAAGGGTGGTTCTCACTACACTGCTGGTGTGTGTGTTTTGAGACCTCGTATTCAATCTGTGAAGGATATGTGTATTAATCCATGCACTCGTATAGCCTCAATATTTGTCTGAAAACACTTAAATTCTGACCAGTAAAGGAAAGTTCTAGAAGCAATATTTTCACTTAACATTGTCCAAACAACATCAAGCATTGATACACACTGAAGAGTGCATTTATTTTTTTGTATCACTCCAAGTATGTTGGAATATGCAAGGACTGTGGTTAAAATTAGAATGTATAAGGCATATTATAATTTAGTTCATACTGAAAAAGAAATTAACAGATCATTGATTGGTTCATTCATGCTCCAAAATTTGAGCAATCTTTTGAGTTAGTCATAGATTTTCTATTTTGTTTTAATTTGTCAAGGTATTTTTCTTCCCTCCATGAACTTTAGGTACACATAACTTATGTCATTTATTTATGGTCTTTTATACCTAGTTTGTAAAATTGTAAAATAGCAAACTAAATGCAAAGAGTTTGCATTTGAAAAATAATAAAGTAGTTGCCGTATACAAACCTGGGATCTGGTTGTGTCTTTTTGATTATTTTTGCCATGTGTAGGGTACTTCTAAATTAATTAATTAATGGTTGTCATTTGATTAAAATAGAAAATCTTAATTTTCAATTGAGCATGCTTATTTAAAGGATAAAAAACATTTTAACCTTTTCAATGGTTATTGAATTAGTTTATGGGATACAGTGTGATAATTCAATACGTATACCTGAGTATAAAAAAAAACACACACACATTAATTCCAATCTTTGTCCTGGAGAACAGTGCAATAGAAATACTGACTTTGAGATACAATATTCTGATTCTATATTCCATTGTAATTAAGATTAAGAATTTTGGTTGGTTTAGGTTCTGCCATTTATTATTTATGTGATCTAGGACAAGTCTCTTACCTCCCCTCTGCCTATTTCCTTGTTTGCATCCAAAAATAATAAAGAACTTTGTTTTCCTATATCATTACTGACCTGAAAGGCCAGCTACCAGTTTTTTTTCCAGGGTCTTTTTACATGGGATCCAAGGATCCTTGCAGGTACATTGGAGTTCCAAGATAGCCCCTAAAACTGCAAATGTTAAAATTATATCTGTATATGCAGTTTGATGGGGGAGATTTCATAAATTTTATCAAATTCTAAGTTGATATGGGATAAAAATATATTAAAAACTGAAGTCTTAAGGATGAATGCTCTTACCATGATGCTATTTCATATGGTTAATGATTAATTAGCAGTCACTGTCAATAAAAAAAAAATAGGCTCAAGACATCCCAGTATATTATATTAACCAAAGCCCCAAGACCAGCTGGCTTAAGCAAGCATAGGCAGGCCCGTTATCCTTACCAGCAACATTTTTAAACATGGAGAGTGAAATGAAAAGAATTTCAGAGTCTGGGTCATGTTTGGTTATTTTCTGTTTATTTCTTACTTAAGTTTCCCTCTAGAATCAGCTAGAGTAATAGCTGTGTGGTTGTTGACAACATAAGTAGGTTTTGAAAGGGAATAGATTTGGAATTTTCTCCCTTACTTGTTGAGCAAGACAAAACATCATTCCATACACATTTTTCTAGAAAGAGCTTATAGAATTGTATCAAAATTGCTACATGCAATCTTGACAGTAATTTTGAGATTGATTTTAGTGTCGTGTAATATGGGATTTTGTATTTGAGAAAATGAATGCCAACTTTTCTCTATAATAAATGACCGATAGTCTCAGTGGCTTAACGCATCAAAAAACGTATTTCTAGCTTACATCCCAACTTAAGATCCAACTTGATTAAGAATCTAAGGATCTTCCTGGTCACTCTTTTCCAAGCAGTGACTGATGGATCCAAGTTCCTTTATCTCATGTGACACTGCCATATACAATATGTGTCCAAAGGTCATGGCATAAGGGAAGACAGATGTGTTCACTTTTGTTGGAAGCTTTATGGCTGGACTTGGAAAGGGGATTTTGTTTCTGCCTCTTTTATCTCATTGCCCAGAACCCAATCACATAGTTCCAATACAGGTGCTAGGATGCTGGGAAAAGCACAGGAAGAGAAACTGAAACTCAAGGAGCAAGTTGGTCTCCTGCACAAGTACGAAGGGGGACAGTGCACCTGGAGGAGGTCAGAGAGAACTTCCCCTACAAGTGAGCACATCTCTGAGCTTTGAATTTGACTTTGGTCCTCAAACGTGGGCAGGGGTCATTTCCCAGAGGTGCCGAAGCAGGAGCTGTGCTGAGAAGTGCTGTATCCTTTGTGTCTTCACCCTTGGATATCCAGATGCTTTGGGAATCGACTGGATTTTCCTTTCTACATGTGCAGATCTCCACGTCTTCTCTAGGCACAGCATTCCACTGATTCCTAGAAGTGCCTGGCTTTTAGGATTTCAATTGCCCTGGTCACTTAGGAAGGAAAGGAGTAGGAGTTCAGAGTAAATCATCCTTGGCCAGAAATTGGAGTTATTTCTCCTCTAAAAGATAAAGGTACAATTGGAAAATGCAAAACCACACCACCTTAGCCCTTAGACCTCTATCAGATGGGCAAGACTTAAAAGATTTGTTCTGAGACATCAAAAGAACTGGAGCTGGAACCCACACTTATTTCTTCTAGCATTTATGAATGACCTCATCCAAGGATAGTGCTAAGCTTTGTTTATTTCAATTCTCAAAAGAGCCCAGAAGCACAGAAAAGAACTTCTCCCTCATTTCATAAAGGAGAATTCTACAGAACAAAGAAAGGGTGGATGACTAGTATAAGGTCACCTAGGGATGGAAGTTTGGATTTACATACCAGCAGCCAGACTCCTACAACTTACCCCTGGGTTCTCAGCCACCCTGACACTATAGGGCTTGCCCATGTAGCTGTATCCCATCTGATCCAAATGTTTGTCTGGGGCTTGTGTTCCAGCTTGACCATCCTAATTAGCATGATCTGTGCCATTGCTTTCTCCTTGGGCCCCTGCAGGCCTTTTTTTTTTTTTTTCCCTCTATACCCAGGGCCTCATACATGCTAGGTAAGCACTCTACTTCTGAGCCACAGCCCAGCCCATTTGAAAATTTTATCTTGAGACAAAATCTTGCTAAGCTGCCCAGGCTGGCCTGGAACTTGTGCTCTTACTACCTGAGCCTCTCCCAAGTTGCTGGGATCATAAAAGAACACTGCCACACCCAGCCAGGTGGACTATTTTTGACTGACTTGCCATGCTGTTTATTTTGGGGAAGCTCTAATGGAACAAATTATGACTTAGGTATAATGTTCATCTAACACATTGTTTTGTAAGAATCTCTGCCTTCTGCTGTCCACTAAAAGCAGAGTGTGATCTATTGCAGCTAAGATATTTCCATCTGATAATCAGGCAAGAGGTAGTGATTTTCTTTAATTATCATTCTCACGTTCTAAGCGTAAAGCCATGGACGGCACTTCTTAGAGGCCATTCCTCACTTTGATGATGGCCTGTGACAAAGAAGCTCGTCATTATCCAAACAGAAACAAAAGTCAGGTCCTAAGACAAAGAGAAAAATCAACTGAGGTACAGGCTGAGCATGACATAATGAAGGGCTCAGTGACTTTCAAATCTTGTGACTTGGATAAGTCACTTAACCTCCCTGAAACTCAGCTAACTCATCTTTAAAATAGAAGTAAATTGCCAGCCTCTTGGGAGAAATCAGTGCAATCAATTCTATGGGAATCGGCTGAAGTAAGAAGAGTGCAAACAGATGTCTACACCGGCCAGTCATGTGAGCGAGGGATGCCTTCCAACAGAGCCAACAGAGAACAGGTATTTGGTCATAATGTTAGGCTGATAAGACATTGATGAGCAGGTTGTGGTGGAGAGAATTCTGCTGCCAGGTAAGACGGGATAATAGTGATGTATTTCACAACCTGCTTTGAAGCTCCAGAGAACACCTTGGTATATGAAAGTCTCTGAAAAGTCCCATAGTAAAGAAACCCATTTTGCCAATTTAACTTAGCATTTTGTGACTGTATTAGAAAATGAAATCCTTCTTTCTAACAGAAGAGTCAAATAAAACTCCTCTGAGGCACATTTTGGAAATCTATTCTTCAGAGAGTTTCAAATGAAAAAAAAAAAAAACAAATTGAAAGAGACAAACAAATGCATCCCACGTTGCACAGATGTTTAGGTCAACACCAGAGCTCAAGTATGCTGAATCCCCATCCACTGTGCCTTCCACCACCACGCCCCAACATGTGTTCCAAGTTCTTTCTAAGTTTGCAGCTGAATAGAGATTGGCCTTTTTGCCTTGTGGTCTAGTGGCTGTTGTATTTTTTAAAAGAACACGTGAGATGCAGAGCAAGGGTTGGAGAGATTGTGCTACCAGTTGCAAAACGTGACCATCAAATTCTGATTTCAAAGCCAGCTTAGGAGGTGGTACAACAGAGACTGCACAATGTGTGCCAAAGTCATGACCTGGGCTAAGATGTCTGAATTTTTCCAGTCACGGTCAAGAATCAAATGGATTCTGACAGTGAAAAAATGCACCACACACTTAAATCAACAACCTAAATTAAGACCTGTAGCTGTATCGTGGGGTTTGGCCTCAGTTATTTTACCCTTTCCCTTTGGAGGAAGTTCCCTGAGCCATTGACTGCTCCCAGTTGAGGGGGTTATACGCCACTGACATATCTTATTTCTGGCAATCACCCTAGACATAATTCTTTGTTTACAGCACTGCAGTAGAAAACTTGATGAATACTTCCAAGAAAAAATAGAATTAGGACCCAAGAACCCAGTTAAAATCAGCTTAGTAGAACACAGACATGGCTTTGTGTAGGGCTGGAAAAGATAGCCATGAGAGAAAGTAGCTTTACCGTACACTCAGAGAAACTATATATTATACCCATAATATGTAAAAGGCAATTATGGCCTGCTAATCTGCAGTGTATCACTACCTAGCAATCAGATTGACGTATTCTAATGAGACCCATGTTGTTTGTAATCAGACTGGCATTGCTTATTCATATCTCTATTCCATAAGATGCACTTTTAAATGGCTCAGATTGCACCAGATGCTATAAGAAATAGCGTTCCATTCTATTCCATTACCAGCATTTTTCCCTCTTCCAATTAGCATAATTTAAAATCAGCCAGAGGCAAATGTGAGGGGCTGAAAAGTTGCAAAGAAGTTCAAGAAATACTTGATAGAAAAAGGCAAGAAGACACTCATGTGCAACCATTTTTATATGGGCAGGTGAACATTGCAATTAACTGAGTTCTTCTTCTTTAAATTGCTCAGAATTTATTTCTGTGACTTATTGAAATATTAGAGTCTCTCAGGGGGCTAATTGCCCCCGTAGGTTCTTCTTGCTTTTGCATTATCTTGTGAATGACATAATAGAATCACTACCTCATTTACCATTCAGTTAAGGTTTAATTGAGTTCATCTTTTTTTTTCTCCCCTCAAAATGGTGAGGAACTTATAGAATCAAAACAAATTCTCATTTGTGAAATGAGAAGATATTCACAAATTGCCTCTTTATAAGTCAAGTCCTGGCTGCTTACAA